GGGGGGCCCTGTGGTGGGCCTGCGGCAGCCTTGGCAGACTGAACACAGATGCCTGGGAGTGGCCTCAAAGCTCTGCTGGGGAGAAAACACAAGAGTGGTGAGCAAGCCCCTCTGGCCGGCCTGGAGCCATGCCTGTTTCCCAGCAGCCTTTGAGGCTGGCCACTCCACTGGAGGATCTAGGGGGTTCCCTGGTGTCCCCTCCATGTGTGGGTCTTGTCTGTCCATATGCATGCAGACACTGTTCTATTATAAAGTCTGACTGTGCATGTCATATACACACACATAAGCCTCTGAATCGACGTGGTAGTGATTTCATGCACACAGGACACATTCAAGCATTGGACGCCCTCTGTTTGGGCCCCTATGTGTCTCTGTTGGCAGGTGCACCTGCCACTAGAACATCACAGGGACATCCACATTTCAACATGTATGTGCGTACACATGCGCTGATGTGGCAGTTTACCGGCGAATGCATGCACGTGCGCACCAGCAGATTTATAAGTCAAGTCTACATAGAGTCCAGAGACAGTACTATCTCCCTTATCTCTTTCTGATTCAAAGTCAAGGTCTGGAGACTTGGGATGGAGGTTGAGAAGTGTGAGGGGACCTCTTGGAGGCATTGAAGGGAGAGAAGACTAACTAGTGCTGTGTACTAGCTGGCTATCCAGGGTCCTCAATCCCCACTTCTCATGGCAGACCCCAGGATTTCTACCCTACAGGGCCGAGGAGCAGGGAAGGTGGGCTCATCTCTGTCCTGCACACTCTTTTCACCTTGAATTCCCCTTTTGGGGGACAGTGGAGCTGCTTCCAGATCACCTCAGGATGATCAATATCCATGACTACTCTTACCTCTCTTAAGCAGACAGACCTGTGGCCTCTTTAGCAGCCCTAGCCTATCCCAGCCCCCAAGCCTTGGAGCTGCACCCTCTCCTCTGGCACCCTTCTGTGCCCCTGCGTTCCATGTCTACCAGGCACACAACACATCCTCAGCATCCAATGCTCCAGTGGTGTCCAGTAGGAGTCCCTGGATGGGCTGAGCACCTACCAGCAGGAGAGTTCTCCATCACCTCTGCCTGGTATGTGCCTTCAGTGAAGAGGGGGTGATTGTCATTCTCATCAGCCAGAGAGACCAGCAGTAAGTCAAAATCCTGTGGTGGGCAGAACAGGGAGAGGGATGTGTGGTAGTTTAAATAGGTTTGGCCCCCATAGAACAGTGTGTCTGAACGCTTGGCCCATAGGGAATGGCACTGTTAGGAGGTGTGGCCTTGTTGGAGGAGCTGTGTCACTACAGGGATGCACTTTGAGGCCTTCTAGTGCTCAGGCTTGGCCAAGTGTGGCACATTCCCCTGTTGCTGCCTTTGGATCAAGAACTCTCAGCTCCTTCTCCAGCACCATGCCTGCCTGCACGCTATTATGCTTCCCGCCATGATGATAATGGACTAAACCTTTGAAACTGTAAGCCAGCCCCAATGAAATTTTGCCTTGGTCATGGTGTCTTTCCACAGCAATGAGAAACCCTAAGATAGAAGTATACTGTGCTATAGAAAGGGATCATGCTAGGACATGGGAAGTTGAAAAGTCTAAAGCAGGGATCTAGAGTTCAAGTGCCTCCTCTGCTGGCTGCTCACTGGGTGATCTTGGCAAGCTTCTATCCCTATCCCCTGATTGGCTGATCTGCACTTCCCTTTCTGATGAACAAGAATTTTTTGTTTGTTTGTATGTTTTTTGTTTGTTTTTGCTTTTTGTTTTTTGAGACAGGGCTTCTCTATGTAGCCTTGGCTGTCCTGGACTCACTTTGTAGACAAGGCTGGCCTCGAACTCACAGAGATCCGCCTGCCTCTGCCTCCTGAGTGCTGGGATTACAGGCATGTGCCACCTTGCTTGGCTTCAGCAAGAATCATAATGGGAATGCTGAGTGGGTGAGAGGTGTACTCAGCCACACCACACTGCCTGTGGATGGAGGGTTTTAGACTAGAGGATGAGTCCCAGATTTCAGACCTTCACACAGGATTGCTGTTGGTCCAAGTTCAGCCTTGCTCTCATACAAAGCTGCACGTCAGACCATCTATCCTCTTAGAGACCCTAAATAAAACTCTGTGACACTAGGGTGAGAAAGCAGAGAGCATAACCTTTGCCTCAAATTCCTATGATTGACTTCTGGGTAAGATGGCACCTTAGGAGCCATGACGGACAAGTGACTCATTATATTAGGAAAATAAAGGAACGGGAATAGTTTATCACTCTGACAGCTGATTTTCCTGTCCCCGTGGTCCACCTGTTTACTGCCCAATCAACTCCCATCACCATAACCAACACAGTTGCCACTACTGCAGACACTGTGGATATGGCAGATCAACCTTCAGCACTTCTGTGCAGTATATAGAATTTACAGTAGAGATGGCTGCCACTGGGCCTCCTTTCTGTGCCAACAGGGAACCAAGTTCAACAACAACAAACTACAAATCAATCTCCTCATTGAATATAGATGTAAAAATTCTCCTCAAAACACTGGCAAGCCTAAATAAAAGACACATCAAAATGATCAGCATGATCAAGTTAATTTCATTACAGAGATAGCTCAACATACATTAACTAACAAATGTAATTCACCACATAAATGAACTCAGAAACTGAAATCATATGGTTTTCTCAACAGCTAAGGATTTGACAAGATCTACATCCCTTCACGATAAAATCAAGCTTTTCATCGAAAATGAGAGGGGCTCATGAGGGACTATTGCTAGAAGTGAGGCTGTAGTTTTCCTCATGGGTGTAGCCACTGATAAATTGCTAGTGCTCAGATGGGGAAACTGAGGAAGCAGTGTACCAACAGAGCCACTTAGCTAGTCAGGAACAGCTCTGAGGACACAGGCAAAGGTTCCTACCCCAACAGCAGGGGTGGTAAGATCAAAGCAATTCTAACCGGAAAGGGACTATCAGACAGCACCCACAGCCTTTCACTAAAGAACCTGAGCATTTAATGTTTGAAGGACCATCCTCCCCCTTCAGGACCTCTAAGTTCAGGTCTGAGTCCCATGTACGCACACACATCTGTGGCTTACTAAGGAAGTGTTGTTGGCCCTGGGCCAGGCTCAGTACTGACTTAGGGATACAAGTTTGTGAAAAAGAAAAGGGAGGCGGGGAAAAATGAACTGGCTCTAGCACATCCTATTGACAGAACTGAAGTCAGCATTTGCCAAGGCAGATGTGTGCTCCTAAGCCTGTGGCAGACTGCCACCCCATCACCAAGGGAGGAGTGTGTATTTATTCTCACTCTCACAACTCTCTCTCTCACACACACTTGGCCTGATCTCCCCCATGCCTTTCACCTCTCCCCTACTCTCCCCCCACACCCCCTCCCCCCACCTTCCCCCTTGCTTTCCCCCCCTCTCCCCCCCCCCCCGCCCCCAGCCTCACCTTCCTGGCTATGCGTGGGTTCTCTGGGTTGTCCTTTACGGAGACTGTCAGCCTGTACTCTGGGATGTGCTCTCGGTCCAGGGGCCGGTTGACGGTGACGACCCCTGTCTGGGATGTGTCTGGCTGGTTACATTAGCAGGCATCCCCCACCACCCCATTACCCATGCTCTGCCCACAGTTCCCAGGTGGCTGGGAGTACCTCCCCCAAAGAGCCTAAGAGATAAAAGTCAAAGGAAGCCACTAGGATCTTTCCAGGGTAAGGGTAACTCAACGATACCAAATTCTGCCCAACCCCAAAAGAGGGGACACGTTGGAGGACTCTGGATGTCAACAGTCTATAGACATTCTAGTAGGCCAGGAAAGAAATTCAGGTGCACTTCAGTATGGCTCAAGCCATCTTACAGTTTAGAGTACCCAGGAGAGGCCTTGGAGTGGAGGAGGGTTGCAGGGGTGGTTGATGGACATCAGAAAATAACCGTCCAACAAAATCAAAAGGGCCTACTGACTGGGACTAGGTTCTTGAACTGTGCACCACAATCCACGTCAGCAGCGCTGGGTCAGGGAAGCCATGCTGTGGTTGACTCAGGAGGCCCTTCCCAGTGCTAATTAATGCAGCTATAACCAAATGAGTGGCTGACTGATGAAGCTGTGGCCAATTCAGTTGCTTCTATTGCCTCCCTTCAGCTGTTCGATAAACGCTGATGGAGTGCCCCTGCTGGCTGGAATTCCTGCTTTGGCTCTAGGAGCTGGTTTATTTTGAGCAGATTTTTCATTATACTTTGTTGCTTTACCTTTTTAGACAAGGGTCTCTTATAGCATGGACTGGCTTCGAACTCACTATGGAACCAGGAGGACCCTGAACTCCTAATCTTCTTGGTGCTGCTTTTCCAGTGCTAGAATTATAGACACAACAGTGCACCCAGCTTACACTTGCTTTTTGGTTAGGAGTTGGTATCAATTCCAGACTAACCTTGAACTCACAGCAATCCTCCTGCTCAGCCTCCCCAAGACTGGCCAGGAGCTGGATTCCCCATTAACTTTAGAACTGCTGCCATTCATGCTCTGGGGTCCAGTTTCTTCACTGCCTCTAGGAAGTCTCTGCTCCATTCTGGAACCTGGAGCTCCTCAATGAGCTTCTGGTAGTAAGGACTTGGGGGCCCTGGACAAACCTACCGTGGCATTGATGAAGAAGGCCCGCTCCCTGTTGCCAGCCGTGATGTTGAAGGTGAGGAGGGCATTGCAGCCGCTGTCTGCATCACTGGCTAGGACATGGGTGACAGAGCTGGATATTGGGCTGTTCTCACTGATGGTGATGTTCATGGGAAGATTCAACAGCACTGGGTCATTGTCGTTGATGTCCAGCACTCGGATCCCCACCAGCATCTGGGGGAGGGAGAGCCAGGGGTGGATGTGACCAAAGAGGAGGAGGGGCTAGACAGACCAAAGGTAGTAAGGGCATTGAGAGAGGAAGGTTGTGGAGGAAGAGGAAGAGGAAGGAAGAAAAATCAAGTGTGGGGGGATGACAAAGGCGGGGGAGAAAGTGTACAGAGTGACAGGTCTGGATCAGGGGCAGAGGTCTAGAAGGAAAAACGGCCTCTTGAGAGGGTATTATAAGGGAAGTACCCTGGAGAGCCAAGGTCCTCAAGGCTACGTTCCAGAAAGGTACCTCTGGTTTCTCTGGGCCAAGAGTGACAGTGTTTGAAGGTGTTCAGGGTACACCTTGACGGAAGCCATGGAGCTGGGCCAGACTCACCGTGGAGCTGAGTGGCGGCACACCCCTGTCCCGGGCACAGATGGTCAGGTTGTAGAAAGCAATGGTCTCCCGGTCCAGTTCAACATCCTTTCGAACCCTCAGCACACCCTCCACTGGAGAGATCACAAACTCCCCTGGGAGCCACCAGAACAGGTGTTAGCTGGTTCCCACTGAGAGTTCCTTTCCTCCAGCCAGCCCTCTCCATGAAGACCAGGGCAGCTGAGACACATGTCCTCCCGGGGCCCTTTCTGGGCATAATGGGAGAGTGGCCCTGATACCCACATGGGTATGCAGTTTTTTTGACCAATCAGCTTCCCTCCTGGGCTCGTGCTGACCAGAGGCTGATCCAAGTGTGATGAAAAGTAGGGGTGGGATATCTTTGTTTTTGTTTGTGTTGAAGCATAGTTTCATGTAGCCCAGGCTGCTCCTGAATGCCTGAGCCTTATGCCTTATGCCTCCATGCACCAAGTGTGGGATTCCAGAAATGTGCCATCACTCCTGGCTTATGGGCCCCTTCTTATACAACACATTCATCCTGACCACTTGTGATCAGAAACCTACTAACAAAGGTATCAGGCACTTTGGAAAGCTTGTTCTAGACAGGTAGAAAAAAATCTCAAAGGAGTTGCATGGTGTTTAGAGGCTGAGACAACCACTGGGCCATGTCACAGCAGAGCATCATGCCACTGTCTAGGCTGGCCGCCATCACCATGACCAAAGTAAAGCACCTCTCCTGTGCTTTGTATGAATAACAGCAGCAGCTTGCCATAACTGCTGTTTGCTTGCCTTTCCCTAGATGCCCGTATTTCCTTTTGATATGTGTTTTCTCCTGGTGATGACCCTTCCTCCCTTGGGGTAGGGACATGGCTGAGAAGACGAAGCACTTGCCATGCAAGCATGAGGAGCAGAGTTTGGATCCCCAGAAACCCTCAGAAAGGCCAGAAGGTCATGTGGTCCCACCTGTAATTCCAGCCTCAGAAGACAGAGGCAGGAGATCCCAGAACAAGCTGGAGAGCAGTTCCGGCCTCGATTAATAAGGTGGAAGAGTGCTGGAGGATGACTCCTGACGCTGACTGCAGGCTTCTACATGCCTGTGCACGTTTTTACACACAGACACACAGTCAATACACATGCACATACGTACACACATACCCAAACACACATATACATGCACACACCACACACACACACACACACACACCCCATATACATACATATACAGGTACAAACACACATACCACACAACATACCCAAACACATACATACACACACAGCGCGCGCACACACACACACACACACACACACACACAAAGGGAAAACCTCTCCCGATTCCTTTATCTCATCTCTGAGTTCTTTGTCTAATAGAGATAAGAACCTGGAATCATTGGGTGCAGATCTCAGCCTGCTGTCTCTAGCCTGCTCAGCCCATACCGCCATAGGAAGTCTTGTGAGAAATGACCGTGCTTTAGGACCATCTCTGCCATAAAGGAGGGGTTATATTGTGAGCTCCTGGCAGCAAGATAGTAGGATGAGGGACCCTGATCAGGCCCAGACCGAATCTTCTAGGCCTATGGTAATCCGTTTTCTTTCCTTTGAGGCTCACATCACCTCTGGACCCTGCTGAGATCTAAGACCAGTGCCCTATTTAGTGTCTAACACTGACACAAGTGCAAGCGTCTAAAGCAAGACCCTCAGGGTCACACACTCTGGTCTGCCCTGTGGCCCTTAGGAAAATGAAGCTAGGAACCAGAGAACAGTGTCCCCTACACTTCCAGCGTGTAAATTGGCAGAACTGAGGATTGAATCCCCAGGGGTTCAGAGGCTTCCCAGATAACACTCCTCAGGGCTTAAGAGAGAGAGAGGACAGGATGTGAGGGATGAGGGGGCTGGAGAAGCAAGCGGGAGCCTCTGTGGATGACGGAGAAGGGGCTGTGGCTCTGGCAATCAACAGAAACGTGAGGGGTCACTTCAGCTCTGCAATTCTTCCAGGAACAGAGCAGGGGAGAAAGATACCCACCTTCCCATCCTCTTTTTCTTGAGATAGAATCTCATCTTATAGCCCACATTGGCCTGGAATTTACCACAATCCTCCTGCCTCGCCCTCCTAAGTACTGGAATACAAGTAGGAATAATCAATTGGCCTTTTCTGTTCTTCTTGGTACTTGGGGCTCAGGCCCAGAGTGGAGCACACAGCACGGGGGCTTGACAAAGCTAGAGGCCCAGGCATCCTGGTGGCTTTTGTTGTCTGTCTCCCACATCCCAGGACACTAACCCTGGTGCCCAGCTTCTGCCACAACAGCCTCCACGCCCACCTGCAGCTGGGATTTCCCACCAGCTCTTCCACTCCCAGGCTCCCTAAGCTCCCTGGCCCCTCCCTGTTTAGGAGTAAGGAAGTTGTAGAAGGAGGATTTCCTATGTCCTAGGCTCCAAGGCCTCCAAAGCATGGGGATTCCCTTTCTTGGCGTTTCCCAGCCCTGTTGACACCTAGCTATGTGCTGGCAAATGACCCCCTTCCACACTGGCAAAGGCAAGGAAGACCTGATTACTCTGGAAGGCTTGGGGAAGCAGGCCTGGAGTGGTAGTGGAACCCTGCACCTCCCCACCCCTCAGTGATAGATTACTCTTCTCAGGGACTTGCCCTGGGTGGAATGCCTGATCTCCCCACCCCACACACCTAGAGACAGGAGGTCACAACCTTCTGCCCAGTTGTGTTTGGCCTATAGCCAGATTCTTCCCAAGCCTTGCTTTGATTGTCCCATCTGGAAAATGGTCTCATGGTTAGGCATCCCCTCAGGCTGGGCTGGTAACAAAACAACTCTTAATATGGGAGAGGACATCCTAAAGAAGAGCCCAGGTGCCCTCTGGGGCACTGAGACCTCACATGGAAAGTGTAGTACTGGGAAGGGATCCCAGGATGGCTTGGCCAGAAGGGGTAGCTGGGAGGTTCTGAGAAGGAGGCAGGAGTGGTGGTCAAAGCTCAGCTCAAGGACGGATGGCATGTTTCTCGGGCTTATTTGTTTTCCCACAAGAATTGTTGGGGATTGCCAGTACAAAGGCCCTGAGGTCTGAGCACCCAGTAGGCTCAAGGAGTTGTAGAAAGACTAGTGAGGATTTGAGAAAAAGAGCAAGGTGGAAGAGATGATTTTCATCTGAGGACCATTAAAAGGACTCAGCATTCCCAGAGTAAGGTAGACACATAGGGGTTGGGGTCAGCTTTGAGCATAGGAGGGACATGTCTTGACCAAGGTCTTAAGGACTTCACAGTAGTTCCTGGGCTTGGGGAATTTTGGATGAAAAGATGGAATCAGGGAGGTCATGTGAGCACCTAGCACAAACACTCTGGCTAGAGATTGGGGCCAGTAACCTGGCCCTGCAGAGTCAGGCATTAGTAACCTTTGTGCTTCATGGCTTGGGTGTGTCCCTTTAACTGCAGATTTAAAAAAAAAAAAAAAAAAAAGACCAAAAGACCAAAAACAAGTTTGAGCCAGAGTTTTTGTCTACTTTTCAGTTTCTAAGATGAATCTAAGGGGTGGGATTGGGGTAGGGGAGAAGAGAGAGGAAGAGAAAGAGAGTAAACCTGAGTCAAGTCATGTTGCTCCCTTGCTCAAAGCACCAAGGTGACCGCCTCACTAAATACCAAGGCCTCTTGCTGGCATCCTTTTTCTCCCCCATCTGTTGCTCAAGCCACACCAGACACCAGGCCTTTTGTGATTGTGTTCTCGTAGCGGGCACGCTGGGGTCTCAGGACCTTTGTGCTTGCTATTGTCTGTGAACACCTGGTCCCCGTTTGTCCCCTCGGCTCATTTCTTATCTGCATCCCTTGGCATCTGACCAGCACATAGTAGGTCTTTATGAATAGTCATGGAGTGATCGAGGTAATTTACAAATACTCGACGTCTGCTTTTGTTCTTAAGAACAGGGAGGCCTGGCACCCCAGAGGCCTTGTGGGTGACTAGTGGCTGCCACAGTAGCTGCTACTTCTCCATTACAGCCTTTTGAAGGCCGTCCTTCCCATGCATGTCTCTTGATGGATTCGCTAACCCCTTAAAATTCCTGTTCTAGCTAACAAAGTGTCTTGAGAGTGGTTTTTTTCAAGCCTCCCACCTCTAGCCTATGAGCCAATTTAGAGGCCATGTAGGCTGTCTCATCTTTTTGCTTTTTAAAGACACCTCACTGGGTAGCAGTGGCTATCCTTGAACTCATACTGATCCACCTCCCTCTACCTCCTGAGTGCTGGAATGAAAGGTGTGGGCCACCCTGGCCAACTGTATAGGCTTTTGTTGGGTGACTCTGAGGTGTTCACAGGAGCCCAGTGTTCCCCAAATGTGTGACTTAGGTCCTAGGGTACTGAGATACTTGTGGCAAGGGATGCTTGCCTTCCACCAGCTGAATACATTTTCAAGGATAAGATGGATGTTTCCACCCTCCAAGGCCACCAGCCTATGTCTCAGATGCCATGGCATCCTCCCCTGGGATAAAGGCATGTGGGACTGAGGTTCATGATAGAGGGCAAGGTCACACAGGAGTGAATGGACTGTACGGAGACCTCCCTTGCCCCAGTCCTGAGCAGGTGAAGAGAGGCCCCTGGTCATGCCCGCCACACTGCACAGCACAGGCCCCACTCACCCAGTGGGTCTCCATCCACAACGCTGTACTCCACCTGCCCATTGGGACCAGAGTCCCGGTCGTGGGCCAGGAATGTCCATACTCTGGGCCCTGGCTGGCCCTCGGTGATGTCAAATGGTCCTTCATAGTCCCGAGGGAAAGTGGGCACGTTGTCATTGATGTCATTCACATTCACAAGCACCTGAGGCAGTGAACAGCTTAGCCAGGATCGGCCCCAGTTGCCTGGAGAACCTCAGCAACTGGACCTTCTACTATGTCTGATGCTGGTACTCATGGGCTAAGGGGAGTGTGCGGAGGAGTGCCACGCTGTGGGAGGGCATTTAAGCTGTGCATGTGTGTGAGCTCTGGTCCAAGTCCCCCCACCTTTGTGTGTTTGTGTGTTTCCGGGAATTGAACTCATGACCTTGCCCACTGTAGGCAAGCACTGTACCATTGACCTTCACCCTAGCCTCCCCTCCCCCACCTTTGAGATAGGGTCTTTCTACATAGCCTTAGCTGCTCTTGAACTTGTAATTCTGAGTCTCTACTTTCTGTGTGTCTTTATGGGCACAGCCTACTCATCCCTATACTCTGGTCATTGTATGTAGTCCCATTTGCTCCTCCTGTATCCTGAAACATAGCTTTCATTCATTAGGAAACCAAAATTCAGGGAGGTTAAGTGATTTTCCCAGAGTCACCACAGCCAGGAAGTAAAAGGGCTAGGATCTAAATCATTGCTAGTTTGACCAGAGGGCATGCTTTTCCCATGAAGGGGAAGAAGGAAGGTGTTTTCACTCATCTGTTAGACACAGTCACAGTGACTCCCTCATAGCAACACAGCAAGTCTGGATGAGCTGCAGAGATGAACAGGAGCGCTCACCTTCAGGCATTTCCTGCCAGCAGGCATTTATTTTCCTTCCCCTTCCACCATGGGGCCTCCTGAGTCCTCTGTGTGCTCCCTCACCCTCCACACTGGGGATGCATTCCATTACATACCGTGGTAGTAGAGGAGAGGCGGTGAGACGATATAGGACACTGGTCTGTGGCAGTGACAATCAGGGTGTAGCGGCCATGACTGATCTCATAGTCTAGCTCCTTGGCAGCTGTAATGACACCCTGTGAATACAGAGAGTACAAGGGGAGAGGATGATGAGTGATGGGCCATTTGATGATATACCAACTAGACTCTAACATCCTAGCTACAATTGTTGTCTGTGTCCATAACAGACATCAGTAATCAATTACAGCATTACTGAAGGCAGAGAGGTCCTATCTTTCTACCCCCTAACCCAACACTGGGTATTCCAGTTTACTTCTGGGCTCTATGTTTGTGCTTTATGCCCTATAGTATCACCAAGCTTCCCATCAAGCCCTGGAGAGGCTATGCCCCCTCCTGGACCCTGCCCCCAGCTGCTGACCGTGTGCCTGTTGATTCGGAAGGTATTGACGATGTTGCCTGCCACAATGTCATAGGCGACAGTGCCATTCGGCCCCTCATCCAGATCCAGTGCTTGGATGGTGATAAGGCTGGCGTTGACTGTATCCGGGCCTTCATCCAGAACCACCTCATAATGTGGCTGCTGGAACACTGGAGCGTTATCATTCTCGTCCACTATAGTCACATACACGTGGGTGGTGGCCTGGAGTAAAGAACATGGTCAGGTGCCTTGGTCAGGGGGTCAGAGGGATCAAGATGGATCCAGACTGCTGTGGGGTTTTGTTTGTTTGTTTGTGGGGGGGTGTCGTTAAACTCACTCAGTGTGCTCAGTATAGGGAAGAAAAGAAGAGAGAATGGGTTGGGGAGAAAGTCACAGGCTGGTAGGAGAACCTGTAGAGGCTTTGTTAAAACCAAGCCAGGTACCTGTTTGGGGCCAGGTTGAGACATATATCACTATTTTCATGTCTATGCTCATGGCAGACATCACCAATCAATCCTAACACTCCTGCAACCAGATGCAAGCTTGAAATTCCTGTCAGACTGGCAGATTGGAAAACCTTGATGCTGAAATGGACTGTTGTTAAAGACAGATGATGCAGGACTGCAGTTATAAAGGACCATCACATCAATGGATAAAGATTTGGTTTCTTTAAAAATTCAGTTATGTAAGCAAGTTTTTGTTGTAATCCCAAGTGTGGGATATGGGTCTGTCTTAGTTTATCCATAGCTGTTAACTATCATTGCTTTGTTCAGGGGCATGATCTTTACCAGCTACAGTTAGTAAAAATCTGAGGACTCAGAGAGGGTATAAATATCAGACAGAGCCCAGACAGAGAAAGGGGGGGGGGGGAGTGTCAAGGAGATGAGTGGAAAGAAGGCTGCTGGTGTATCCTGCTACTGTGTTTGCTGTTTACTGGTTTGCTGGTTAGCTGGACTGCTGAATTGCCATTGCTCATCTGTTGGTAGACTTGGACATGGCTATCAGCTTCCAGATGAAGAACAGAGGAACCTTGAGACCAGAGTTTCCATTTTTCTCTGGAATGGCTAGAGCACTTTAGGGTGAGGCTGCTGTGCTAGGTGAGGCTCCTTGTCACACAGGGTGGGGTGGGTGGTGGAAATGAGTTTTGCATTGGGTGTTACAGTTAGCTCTTTTAAAATGAGATTACTGGTACCACATGGCAGTGGAGACTAGGGTATTCTAAAAGCTTGTGACGATACTGAAGTGTTAACAGCCCTATGGCTAAGCTGCTGTATTGACAGTAGGGATGAAGGCCAAAGCCCATGCATGGTTGGCTTGCAGCCAAAACACGGGCCTGGCCAGGCTCAGTCCCAACAGGCTGGAAGTCAGGTCTGGTGAGGTACAGTCCTGAAGGGCTGGAAGGCAGGTCCAGGCCCTGTGGGAGCTTCACCAGTGGTCAACACTGAGCTTGTGGTGGTAGGGCAGGCTCCAGCCAAGCCTGGGGAGTTCAGTGGTGAATTTCCAGGGAGAAAGGGGCCCTCTCTTTTCCAGAATAATGGAGGCTCAGGAAGTCATGGTGGAAAGCTAATGGTATCAAGCAGTACCTTTATTTCAAGTGAAATCAGGGATTCTTAAACCTTAGGCAGTGGGAGGGGTTTTGAGGGTGGATGTGTTTGATTCAATGGGGCCAGAGGTGCTAGGGCTACCTGATTCACACGTGGTGATACAGTACCTTACTTACATGCAGTAGCATGGTCCTATCACAAGAAGGAGAATATAGTACTTAATTATCCTATGGGTAGGGGAGAATCTTCAGGTACAATTAAAGGTCATTCGCTGAAATCAAAGATCTCCTTAGTTTAGGGTGAGGTATTTCCAGGAATCCCCAGCTGCTTGCTGAACATGTTTTACCAGGAGAAAAGGAGTTGAACCTGTAATTTTCCCTGAGGACTACATGACATGCCTCAGGTAGAGGATATGGGGTTTCAGGCTCCCCAGATCAGGCAGAGAAGAGGGCTCCCTGCTGAGAATGAAAGTCCATCATCACAGACCAATCTCAGAGGCTATCTGGAAATGCCAGACTTTGACTTTAAAAGCAGGGTTTCGTGACACCAGATATCCTAAAGACTGAGATTGGTTTTGCTCCAAAGAACCTGATGAAGCTAGAAGTAGTCTGAAGAGGTCTATAACCCCTCTCCCCACTAATCGTCTTTCTCTTCTACTTAGTGTTTTGGGGTGGTGGAAGGCAGGTAGAGGTATAAGAAACCAAAATAAGAAGAGTTAAAAAGTAGTGCTAACAGGTCCAGGCATGGCACACACCTTTAATCCCAAACGATGAAGGTAAAGTCAGTTTGTAGAAGAAAGCACTCATGTTTAAAAATGATGTGTAATTGAGTGGCAGAAAAGTGAAGAATCAGAGCAATATTTGACAGAATAAGATACGACAACTCTCAAGAGAACAGAAAGGAGAGGCAAGCTACTTAAGGGAGCAGCACAGAGAATGAGGGAAAGGAGGCAGTTTTACTGGGAGAGTTTTACAGAAACAGGTAAAGACAGAATGAGCTAGAGAGTGAGAAGGATCCAGAAGATTAGAACATATTTTTGGAGTAGTTTGAGGCCAAGCAGAGCAATTTAGAGGCTGAGAGAAAAGCCAGATTAAATAAATCATCAGGGAGAGGATTTTAAGCCTGAACAGCTAAGATGAACCAGCCAGCGATGAGCTCAGAAATGACCAGAAATCATGAGCTTGTTCAGCAATAAGTCTCAGAGGATGAAAACATCCTAGGCCTAGATTAGATCATATGGAGTCTAGAAGCTTCTAGGACTAGGCCTAGGTTAGCAGACGGAGGCAGTAAGGCATGTAGATGGCAATTAAATCAGGCAAACAAAAGCAATTTTTATAGAACCCCATCATGAGACACACACTTCTTTGGATCTTAGAGTCCCTAAGAATCTTTAGTAAGGTAGCAAGGACCGGGGGACAGCCAGGTGACTCAACTAGTAAAGGCACTTGTCACCAAACCTTAAGGCCTGAGATCAATACCTGGGACCTACATGGTGGAAGGAGAAAAACCAACTTCTGCTAGTTGTCTTCTGACCTCCTCATGCTTGCTGTGGCATGCAAGAATCTACATAGGTATAAATACACACACAGAGTAAATAGATAAATGAAAAATGATAGTAAGCACTCAAGGAGGAGAAGGCAGTATGCTAACATTTCTCACTAGGGTAGAGAAAGACATCTTACTGAGTTTGGAATAGATTAGACACTAGAACGGCTTTAGCATTCCTTCCAGGCAGAAAATACTTTCAAGATCTTTCCTGTGCCCTTTGCAGTTCAGGCGGGTTTTTACATCTTTCTCCATAACACATGGTGCTATGTGACAACACAAAAAAAGTCAAGGAAGACCAACACAGTCCCCTTGTGTTCTGCATAGTCCTGATTATAGCTATGAACATTTACATTCCTCCTCCAGAAGGTCAGCTTGAGCCTTGCCCTGCCCCAGTCCCTGTAGCCATCACTAAGGGACAAGAGGACCAGCTGTAAGGAACGGTTGGAGTCCAGCCTTCTCATGGCCACTGTCCCATTGTCCCACACTCCTAGAAGATTTCCTGAGAGTCTGATAATCACTTAGGATGCTGGGGCTGGAGGGTGGGGTTCTTGAACAGACCCTCTCCCCTGCAGCCTTCTTGCTTTTATTTCCTTGGCTTCTGAGCTGAAGCCAGACCCCCACAGCCTGCCCTTTTAGGAGGGTTTGAGGTTACTAGGCCAGGCCCACAGCTTGGGCAATGCATGTGTCTTCCTGTGGTGCAAACCTACAATGTTCAGTGCTGGGGTGTGTGTCAGGGGAAGGACAGGGTAGGGCCCCACCTCTGTGGAGGGTGGCTGAGGTGAGAAGATAATCTTAGTGTCTACCTCATCTCTATTGTCTTGGCTACCCTCTGGCAAAAGAGAATACGCATTCTATCACCAAGAAGGACATAGAGCTGTCTCACTAGATGGGGTTCCAAGGTCAGGTTCACACTCAGGGAACTGACTTATGTCTTGGCAGTTTCTGGGGTTCTCATGCCAGGTCTTTTGCTAGCTTCAGCCACACCAAGCCTATATAAGGTCACCTAATAATAACAGGACACACTCTCCTCCTTTTGAGGTAGCCTTCCTTACCTAGGTAGCCCAAGCAGACGTGCTCATAGAACCTTTGACAGGCTGCCTATAGCACCCACAATTCATGGCTACCAATTGGTCCCACTACCCTGATCCCTGACACTGTACTAGCTCTGTCCTCTGTCCTTCGTCCAGGGGCCACAGGAATTCAGCATTCTCCTTGTCCTTCTCACAGTGACCTCGACCACTCTATTCAGACAGTGCTTGCTCGCAGGTCTGTCTCTCAGGTGACAGTGCAGTAAACAAAGTCTTTTCACATTTGTCCTATATAAGGGACTCAGTCACAGGGGGAGGGCCTAGTTGGACAGGTTTACAATCTCAGATATTTGAGAGGCTGTGAGAATAAGTTCAAGGGTCTCCTGTGAAAGTTACTGAAAAGTTGAAAGAAAGAAAGAAAGAAAAAGAAAGAAAGGTAGTGATATAGCTTAGTGACGAACGCTTGCCTAGCATGTCTGAGGCCCTGGATCCAATGCACTGAAAATAGAGTGAAAGAAGAACCCCTGGGGGTTGAGATACCCCTCAGTTGGTAGAATATACTCCTAGAATGTATGAATCCCAGTGTCTGACTCAAGCACGGCATAAACTGGGTATGATGGTGCATACATGTAATTCCAGCACTCAGAGGAAGAGGTAGAAGAATTAGTAGTTCAAGGCTATTCCATTTACATAGGAAGGCCATGGCTATTGTGAGCTCATGAGTATATATATATATATATATATATATATATATATATATATATAGAGAGAGAGAGAGAGAGAGAGAGAGAGGGCAGGAGAACTTAGGTAAGAAATTAACTGGTCAGATCTGGTGTTGTGGCTGAAGGAAGTCAGAAAGGGTGGGGGTGGGTACTCCACAGTCAGGCCAGGAAAGAACAGAGCTGAGCAAACTCTAAGTGATGACAAGAACATGGAGAGGAGAGATGCCTATGAGGGCTGGGAGGACAGCCTAGGAATCTAAGGGGGGGCATGACAGTGCGCTCCTGTAATCCTCGCATTCAATAGGCTGAGGTAGAGGAATCTTGAGGCCAGCCTGAGCTACATAGCAACATCCTGTCTCAAAAAGCTAAAACATTAAAAAATAAAAAAAATAGAAAATTTAAAAAAACACAAATGAAAACCCAAACAAACAAAACAATACAAACCAAGCAAAAACAAATAAAACTCCACATAAATTAAAAACAAAAATAAAACAACAACAACAACAACAAAAAACAGAATTCCGTGAGCCTATGAATAAATAACTGGGCACTAGTGGGTAAAGCCCTGGAGGAAAGAGGCTGAGAGGATTGCATGGGGCACACCACCAGATTTGGTAGCATGTCCTGAGGTTGGGATGTTCTGGGCTTGTGCATTCCCTGTCTCTGTTCCAGGTTCGTTTGCATGCAGGCATGATTATATCAGGGTGTCTCAGAACCGGGGCACACAAGTGCAGAGTAGGCCAAACTCCTTCCCACTTGCTAAACTCATTTCGGATCTCAGATTTCACTTACTTATTTATCCACATCGCCCATACCCCACCCGCCCACCCATTCCTTCCTTCTGCCGCAGCTTAGCCCTGGGCTGCTGGAGCATGGAAAGACAAAGTTCCTGCCTCCAGACTAGGAGAATTGCATGTCAGTCAGGGCGAGACTTGGATCCACTCCTTAGTATTCACGGCCATCATAGTCTCTGACAAGCACCGTGACTTACCGAAGGAAGTGGCTGGCTGGACGCTGGCCACGGCTATCTCCCCAGACCAACTCCCTGCCTCCATCTCCTCCAACCCCGGCCCTGGAGACGCAGTACCGCCCGCCGCCCCTCGGGGGCGCTGCGGGGCGGGGAGTTGGCTCGCCAGCCCGCTGTGCTGTGGGCTCCGCACTCGCACTAGCCGGCAGCGCAAACAGCCGGTCCGGCACTTCGGAAGCCCAACTTGCTCAACGCACACTCCGGCAGTCTGTGTCTGCTCTTGCTCGGCTCGACGGAGACATGGCTGTCCCCAGGGCCCCAGAGGTCAGCGGCCTGTGCTGGGGAACCCTTCTCCTTTTTCTGGCTGCATCCAGAGGTAAGGTCCGTAGACAGGGGGGCTCTTGGGAGTACAGACCTGTAGGGTGGGGGTGGGGGAACCAGGCAGGATGGAAGTGCCCTGAATCCCCTCAGGCTGCGGTGACCTCCACCCCACCGCTGATTGCAGGCTGCTGGAACAGCCCAGCAGGGTGCAGTACGAAACTGCTGCCGAAACAGCAGGCAAGGGTGTCTCTTGGGACTGTCTGCCAGACATTTCCCTGCCCAGAGAGCCCAAAGCAGGGGCCATGAAGAGCTTCTGCAAGGCTTGAGAGGCCCAAGGTAAGAGTCACCCAGTCCTATTGTTGTTACTGACTGGGTTTTGACACCTGGGGCATCTCCCTGCCTTCCTGCATCAGTCTTAGAGGACTTAGGGGGTGTGGTGCTGTGATCCAGTACCCCATCCCCTTTGACACTCCTGAGTGAGTCTTGATGGTCACTCCCATCAAGGAGGAGCTTTGTCACCTGCTCTAATACTGAAAGTCTGATGGCCCATTTGAGTGACCAGTGTGTTCCTGTCATTTAGCCAGATTGCAGTTGAGTATCCAGTATGGAGCACTAGGGAAGACACCGGACATTCCCTTAGCCTAGCTAGGGGCTTAGATAACTCCTCAGCACAGACTTCCACAGTCCAGACTCACAATTATTACCTGGTCCTGGGACACAGCAATTCCCCAGAGCTCCATTCTTGCTTGCCCAGAGCAGAAGATCTCAAAGAAAAAGGGGATACCTTGATAGTTGGCCAAGTAGACAGTGTGTCCCCTCCCTGTCTGACCCCTCCTTGCTCAGAGAACCCAGGGCACAGGTAGCTTCTGCATGGGTCCAGGGACAGCGTCAGTCATGGAGGGAGTCAGAAGTGTTGGGATAGAGATGGTGGGCTTGGAGGAGGAAGCCAGTGGCTGCATCAGGATAGAAGGAAGAAGGTTAAGGGAATAAAATGGAAGACAGACAGGGAACTTCTTATCAACACTGAGAGGCTGGCCTAGACCTCTAATAAGAAAGGTGCCCACACCCTACAAACAGAACAACTGAAGCCCTGGCCTACAGGCTCCCTGCCACTCTATGGGACAGACTGAGGTCGGATGGTGGTGGCACAGGTGGGGGATGTTACAGTCCCAGCCTTGTAAAGGCCAAGGCTCCTTGCAGGGCATAGCTTCCAGGAACAGGGGACAGCAGGAGGCAGGAAGGCCACCAGCACTGTGTCTCCACAGGCTACCAGGTGACTCCATAAGGTCCCTTTCTTGTCTCTTCCCTACTCTTACTTGAATGGGATGCTTTTTTATTCAGCACCCCAATTTGAGAAGCCACGTCCTAGAGATTCAGAGCAGAGGGGTGCAGCTTGCGGAACATCCGACAGCAGAGAATCCCCATCCTACTGTGCCTCCATACCTAGAAGATTGCACAGCCACCACTTATGGCTACTTAAAGTACTTGGTGAGCGGAAGGCCACCTTCCCCAGGTTCAGCTCAGGGAGGAAATTAGGACCCTGGGAGGCTTTCAGGAAAGAAACAAAGGAACTTTTTAGCCTGGAGCTATAACCTAGGTGTGGTCACTCACGCAGTCTTCTCTCTCCTATAGCAGACCTGGTCAGGAGGCCCAGGACCTGAGAACACTCCCCCACCAGCTGCAGTGCTCGGTTGCCTTGGGCAGAATTGTGTTTGGAGCAGGCTGGGATGGGGTCTGGGGGACTAATAGCAGTCAGAGCTTAGGAGGTGCTTGGGGCACATTTTACACACCCCTTTCCTGGCCTGACATGGGCTGATGGGTGGGGAATCCAGGTGCTCTAGACCCCAAGGCATGTAGAACCTCTTCCCCACAAGTATCCCTAAGCTTTGGGGAAGTTACTACCTTGCCTGTCCTTGATCTGACCCCTGAGCCCCGTTTACATGGGTGCACTGGTGTGAGAGGGGGCAGCTATCTTCCCCTCCATGGTAAACAAAGCTGCAAGGCCTTATTGGGTAAACTCAGTGCTGCAAGCCTCTGACCCGGTAGTGGTCAGCTCTTAGGAAATCCAGAAGCCCTGCCCAGTAGCCTGAGACTAGAGATGGCCATGCCATGGACTACTCAGGGGCCAGAAAGGCAGCACTTCTCTGCTGTGGAGCTAAGAAAGGGAAACCAATGGAAGCTAAAGGGATCACTCACTTATACAGAATTTTAGGCCTAACAGGAGAAGCTCAAGAGGGTCTTCAGGACCCATGTGGTCTGCTGGTACTGACTGAGCCTGACATATTGAACTTGAGGTTCTAGGTCCAAAAGCAACTATTGCCCAGGGCCAGTCTGGCCTTGCTAGAAATTAGCACTGGCTTCTGATACCTATGGATTCCTTTTGAAGGTCTGGTTGGGCCATGGCCTTCCTGATGTTTAAGCAATGGGGTATATCTGCATGCCAGGGCTTTCTCCAGCTCTAGCTTAACTGTTTCATAGTTAAACCTGTATTCAAATCTTAGCTGGTCATCTGTGTGCTGGGCAGGCTTTTTAGCATCCTTAGCTAAGTTTCCATCTGTAATACGAGGCAGTGATTCATCCTCCTTTAGACACAGCTATACACAGCTAATGGGCAAAACTTCCCGTGGTGCCTTGTTCCTGTGATGTTGGTAGTGTGATATCTCCTGGTTTCTGGGTCTTTCCATCTGAGCTTTTGCTGCTACAGAGCCCCGATGGTACCCAGGACATAGGAAGCTGTGAGAAATACCATTGGGAATGCATTTCCCACACTCCTAGCATCTGAAGGATGCCCAGGCTCGTTCCAGCTACCCTTCTGGACTGATATTCTAAAATGACCACAGGGGTGCCTGGAAGTTCTCCTTCCTAAGTTCCCTGTACATGAGGCTACCACAGCCAGCCTGGCCTAGGATGTGCTTATCTGTGGGCTGTCTCTAACATCCCATCTCCTTACAGCCTATTTACCGTTGACCACTGCCAGAGTAAAACAAGGGATGCTATGAACTTGCTGTGTTCTGCTACTGACCAAACCTTCCCTTTAGCCTTTCTATATAGGGTTCCAGCTTCCAAGGGAAGGCAGGGTTGCTTCTTGCCTCAGCTGGTCCCTCATCATGGGGCTCCAAGTACACCCTTCCCCCAGCTGAGCTGTGAGCAGGTTGAGCGGTGTGATTGCAGCTGGCTGCTGCTTTCCTGGAGGGGGAGGGTAATTCCCCTTGGTGCATTCTGGGTTAATTTGCTCATCACCTGTACATAGTATTTGCTGAATATCTACCTACTTGTTTTTCCTTTAAATCGACACTTTTCTTTAAAGTAAAAAAAAAAAAAAAAAAAAATTAAGGACATTTTAAGTCAGTGTCACAAGCGGAAAATTTGTATCATTGGCTATAAATAGAACATATAAAAGAACACGATTGGCAAGCCAAATAAGGGAATTAAATGTTAGCTGGAAACTTAGGCTGGTGAAACTTGTTGCTGTCTCTTATAGAAATAAATTAAGTAAAAAGAAAAAAGAAAAGGCCATTTTGAAGATAAAGTGGCATCACCAGGGCTGACTTTCTTTTTGATATAATCAGTGCTGAGAGAACAGTGGAATAGGAACAACCACCTCTCTTTATGATTCAGTGTTCTTTAGTGTAAAATCAAAAGTAAAACTACTTGAGTTATTAATGCTGCCAGGCTAGCTAGGTCCTCATTGGTCAGGTCAGCTGTCCATCTGTGGGAAGGAGGTGGAGCCAGTCTCCTGAGAAAGCATGAGCTCCCCAGAGGCCTGGGTTTGAATTCTGTCCACACCTTATTCTCTGTGAGATTCTAGACAGGTTTCTTTGGCATCGTAATCAAGCGCCCGTTTCACAGGCTTAGGAATGAATTAGATAAACAAGCCCGTGTTTGCATGCTTAGAACAATGCTACCAAGTAAGCCCCTGCACGGATGGGATCAGATCTTAGGAAGTCTCCCTGGCCTGACCCCTGAGGACCTGTTCGGAACAGCAATGGAGTTGAGTCCACCTCAGAGAGGTCTCAAGTCTCTGTTAGAATCTTCCAGGGGAGCCTCCCCAGCCAAGGCCCTGGCCCACTGCCCAGGTCCTCCCCCGGAGGCACTAAGGCTAGATCTCTATCCCTGAAAGCAGGTGGTTTTCCCAAGGTGCTGGAAGTGTGGCTTCCTCCCTTAGAGCCCTACTTCCCCTTCCCAGCCTCCTCGGTCCATATGAATGGACACTTCCTGCTGGGGCAGGGATCAATAAACACTTCTGAGATGCCCTTTGTCCTGACTAGCCAGAGGAGTGCCTGCACAGACCTGCTGGCTTGAGCCTGCAGCCTTCACTCTGGGGCACTTCCTCTGGATTTTGATTTCTTGATAAAGAAATAGCCCAGGCTTTCCCTTCGAGCACCTGGAGAACATCCTGGGGAATGGGGCCTGTGAGCTGGGATCAGCATGCCTGGAAGGCCAGAGACCCTGTCTCTCTCCTTTAGTGAGAGGCCAGCAACTGCATACAGTTAAAATTGTTTACTTGGCAAGCTGGCAGCTGGACAGACCTCAGCTGTCTGGGTGACCAATCAAGCTCGGGACCCACCTCCAAAAACAGGGTGTTGCCTTGGTGACTGTGGGTAAAGCTAGCACCCCAGTCAGGGAAAACAATACTGAAGCCTGTCCACACCCACACACACGCACACACACACACCCATCCCCTGTACGCCCACAGAACCTGATGTGTGGTGAGAGGTGATAGTCTCAAAAACAAGGATGCCAAGTAAGATCTCCTTTGAAACTTTCCCCAGGGGTTGTGCCCTACCCGTGGCTGGGCATGGCTAGAAAAGGCAGCAAAGACTGTTCCCTCAGGGAGCTCTGAGCTCCATAACACTTGAGCCTGACTCAAGTGTTGTGCTAAATACTTGTGGAATGAAAGAATGTTTTGGTTTGGGTCTGAGGAGCAGAAAGGACAGTTGCTATGAGTATAGGGGTCAGCTTGGGGCCAACTGTTCTCCGAAGAGCTGAAAGATGAAATATTAGCTCCACCCCTGGGAGGATGCTTGAAGGGAGTGCTCTTCCTGTCTGCCTGCT